GATAAAAATTATACACAAAACAAATTTGAGTGAAACACAAGTGAGTTAGTGAAAAATGTCTCATCAAGAGAGTGATAGTCTACCATTGTCCCCAAGGATAGCATCATTACATGCTATGATTTCTAATCAGTTCCAAGCCTTGCAAAGGAAAATGGAGCAGATGAGGCTGGAGTATGATAGGATACTTGAAATCCATGAAAATGGAAATTCAAGTAACTATGAGAAAGAATGAAGGAGGAGGTTGAAGGAAAAGGGAGGAGCCCAAAGAGGAACTAGGCATGAGGAGAGGTTGGAAGGGATCAAAATAAAGGTTCCAACCTTTATTGGTAAAAATGATCTGGAGGCTTACTTAGAATAATAGTTGAAGATGGAACAAGTATTCAATTGTAATTCTTACAACAAAGAGAAGAAAGTCAAGGTGGTTGCCTTGGATTTTAAATATTATGCCTTGATTTGGTGGGATCAACTTCAAAAGGAGAGGAGGATAGGAGTCGAGCCCATTGATTCATGGGAGGGGATGAAGTTGTTGATGAGAAGGACATTTGTCCCTAGTTCTTACCATAGGGACATTCACAACAAACTCCAAAGGCTTATCCAAGGCTCAAGTAGCGTTGATGAATATTTCAAAGAAATGGAATTGGCATTACTAAAGTCCAATTTCCATGAGGATCGTGAACTCACTATCGGACGGTTCTTGCATGTTCTTAACCAAGACATCTAGGATGTGGTTGAATTCCAACACTATGTTGGATTAGATGACTTGGTGCAATAAGCCATGAAAGTTGAACAACAATTGAGGAGGAAAAAGTCTAAATTTTCCTCGATTTCTAACTCTAAATTTAATTCTTCTAGGTGGATGGATAAGCCCAAGAAGGAGGGAGGTCGAACAAAGGAGGATATATCTAGTACCAAGGAGGTCGTGGCTACCTCAAAGATCCCAGGGAAGCAATTAATAGAGTCCAACATGAGAAGTCGTGATGTGAAATGTTTCAAGTGCTTAGGCCTTGGACATGTTGCCCCACAATGTACAACAAGGAGGACTATGGTTGTTCTGAATGGAGAAGTGGAGTCTTAATCAGAGACTTCAAGTAATGAGGATGAGGATGATGAGGAGGAAGATGTCGTCATACCTGGAGGAGACATACTCACGGTGAGGAGGCTCTTAGGAAACCAAATCAAGGAACATGATGTCAATCAAAGGGAGAAAATCTTTCATACGAGATGTATGGTTGATGGTAAGCTTTATACCTTGATAATAGATGGTGGAAGATGTACTAATGTGGTTAGTACAATATTAGTATCAAAACTTAATCTTGTGACTAAGTCACATATAGAGTGACAAAATTATCCATAATCCATAAGTCATCCAAATTTTAAAAAATTAAATCCATCCAAATCCATCCATTAAAGCTAATGGATTTCAATGGATGGATTCCAATGAATAACTTTAGCAACGGATAGATTTGAATTCATCTAGTATATCTAATGGATATCCATGGATATATCCATTTGGATGGATATCCAATCCGTCCAAAAAACAAATAATTTAAAAATGACGGTCTCCACTTTTCAATTTCATTTAATATTCAAGAAAATTAAATGCAAGCAAATTCCTCTACGATTCTCACTCTCATATTTAATATTTTATTAAATTAATATTAATTATAGGACATGTGAATATAGTTAATGTTAAAAGTTTATTTTAAGTACATAAAATATATAAGTATGATAAAAAACTGTATGTACTGATAGTGTATGAGTTTTATACATTGTTACTGCATCATCCACCATTTATATTTAATTATCATTCACTCTTCAAAAAATTTAATCCAAATGAATGGTGGATGATATAGTGATTATGTGTAAATCTTTATACTCACAACACATAGATATTACATTCTATAACTATTTGTTAAAAACTTTACACATAGAACCTTAAACGTCGCATGCTTGAAGAATATTGAATTTTTTTTATATGTTCAAAATATCACTTTTTTAAAAAATAACTTTAAAAAAATGATTTTCGAAAGTGTTTTTAAATAATTTCAAAGTGTTTTTTTAAAACGTGATTTAAAAAAATGTTCTATTAAGATAGTAGTTTTTAAGATAATGATTTTCTTCAATAATGTTTTTAGTTACAATAAAAAATTCAAACAGATTGGATATTCATCCATCCAAATCCATGAAAATGGAATCATGGATGGATTGAAATCCATCCATTAAGTTTGGATATGGATAGATTGAATAACAAATTTTGTTTAAATGAATTTATATGGACTGATGGATGAATTTGTATCTATCCATTAGTATCCAAAACCATCCATTTGCCACCCTTAGTCACATCTCACTCCTTACTGGTTACATTGGTTAAGTGGGGTTGGGGAAATGATTGTTAACAAGTAGGCTGAAATTCCCTTTTCCATAGGGAAATATGAGGATGTTGTGTTGTGTGATGTTGTTGACATGGAGGCCAGCTATTTACTGTTGGGCTATCCATGAC